GCTTTCTCAAGATCACGTTCAGGGGAGCCATTCTCGAATCTGCGACCCAGCAGCACTCGGCTCTCGGTGGCTGGCCCCTGGCCCCCCTGTGCTCTGCCTCCCCAGCCCCCAGAGGGGGCAGCAGAGCCCGGGGCCGGCAATGCCACGAAGCTGAGTGGCCGTGTTCCTGCTGGGCTTAGGCCGCCCCTCCATCCGAGAAGGCGTCTCTCCAGCGGCTTAATTTTCATCTAAAGACTTCCATGTGGGACGGTCTCAGTGTGCCCGTTTCGTAGGTGAGTAAGTTGAGGCTTTGAAAGGAGCTTGCCCGGGTTGCCAATGAAGACCAGCGGACTCTGCAGCCTGGCTCCTCCCTGCCACGCCCACTGCCTCTTCGTGAACCGTCCGCTCAGATACCCGCCCAGTCTCACATGTGTTGTTTTCTTACTCTGACAATTTGCAGAATGTGCATGTTCTGTGCGCTCACTTTTGTGAGGCAATATAGTGCAACGCTGGGGCGCAGGCAGTGGGGTCTGCATGGAGTCCGACTGCGGGCTGCCTCACCGACTCAGCCAGCGCACGCGCTTCCTTGTGCCTCTGCCCGCTCGTCCGTAACATGGGGACCAGCGGTCCCCTCACCTTCCAGTGGCTGCGAGGATTAAACGAGCCCAGCAGACGACATGCTCAGCACAGCGCCTGGCAGCTTCGTGTGCGTTCACTATTAGTCGCTGTGACCAGGCTGAGTCCTTTTCTCTAGGACTAGATGGCGCCTTCACGGGTTCAATGTACTGGTGTCCTCCTCAGCCTTCTCCCACCACTTCTCACCCTCCGGCCGCGTCCCTGGCGCCCGCCCTCCTCGCCTGTGGCCTGCGTGCCTTTGCCAGTGCTGCCGCCTCCACCGACACGCTCACCCTGCGTCCTGGGCCTGCGAAAGCCCTGTGAGCTCGGGCTGCGACCCTCACGGAACCCAGCCCCTGCACACTAGCCTCTCCCGGGGCGGTGCTGGGGCTCCAGACAGGCGCTGCCAAAGGGCAGGTCACGGTCAAGTTGGTCCCGCTGCTAGGCCCAGCCTGTGCTCAGCGCCCAGCAGGAGCCCAGACCCCCCTGTTAAGTGGCCTTGAGCATCCATCCACCTCTCATAGGCACGGGCTGGCCCTCGCCTGCACGCCCCCTGCCTCCAGGCAGTGGAGAGCCCAGTTCCCCAGGTTTGCATCTAAACAGCAGAGTCGCAGGAGGAAGCCACAGAGAGGAAAGCCTGCCCTGGAGAGGCAGCCGGGGCAGAGCCACCCACGGGATCCCAGCTCACACCAGCTGCCTGCTCGCTGTGTGGCCTTGGGCAAGGTGCTTCCCTTCCCTGAGCCGCAATGTCATCATGTATCAAATTGGGTGGGTGAGGGCCGGGGAGGGAGGAGCAACACAACAGAAAATGTTCTCGCTCTTAAAGAGTTATTGTGAGGATGAGCGGCAACACATGTGAATGTGCACACAGTGCCGACCACAGGTCTCAGTACAGGAGAGAGAGCATCATTCATCGTCGCGTGTTACGCTGTGGCGGGTGCTGTGGACCCGGGATGAAGAGCTGTGAGGGATGAGGCTGCACCCTCCTGCAGCACAGGGACAGAGAGGAACATCGCCGACAACAGGAGACAGGCGGAGTAAGCACTGCAGGGGCGGAACCGGAGGGAGCGGTTCTGCCCGGGTCAGGTGAGGCCTCGCCGAAGAGGACACGTGACCCAAGTGTAGGGCCAAGGAGGGGGAGGCATGCACCGGAAGGAGGGGACCAATGCGGGCCCAGTGCAGCAGGACCCAGAGAAAAGAGGAGCAGAAACCCATGAACGACGTGGAACCCTGGGGCAACGGGAGGGGGATGGGCGGGGGCTCCTTGGTGCTCAGCTCGGGCACAGGGGCCGCAGGCAGGGAGCACTGCTCACCTTCAGAAAAGAGCCCTTGGGCCAGAGTCCTCCCCGCCCTGCCGCCCCCTCCCCAGCACGCAGGTGCCCAGTGTGCCCCGGCCTGGCCCTGTTCCCATAGACGAGGGAGCAGATCCAGGCTTGGCCTCCAGGGCAGCAGCAAATCCATCTGGCCCGCGTAAAGCCGTGTCCCAACCTCCCCGCCGGGGCCACCTCCGCCGCAGGATGCTGGGGAAGAGCATGCTGGGAAACTCCCGCAGGAGGCCGCATCGATATAATCAGGTCTGGTGGAAATTAAAAGCTATTAGAAACAGGGCGGATTTATCTCTATATCCAGTAACACGCATCGTAATGGTGAGTGTGCAGATGGGAAATGAAACCCGGCTCGGCTCGCTGCAGGCCTTAATGGTGTGTTCGTGCGCAGCCCAGGCCTGTGACTCCCAGGCCGCCCGCTCCCCAGAGACCAAGTCCCCGGGAGGGACGTAAGGGTAGGATCTGCCTGCACAGGTGGAAGGCTGTGCTCCTGCCCACACGCCTTTAAACAGCCTGAGGGAGGGAAGATGGCCGCTTGGAGGGAAGGAAAGGGGTGCAGGGAGGGGCAGGTGTAGCTCCAGAAAAGCAGCATTTTGGGGCTGGCTCTCCAACCTCCACAAACCCCTGGGACAGCACAGCCAACAGGCGACTTAGAGTCAGGGGCCGGCTCCAGGAGCTCACCTGTGTGCCCCCTCTCCCCCCCCCCCGCACGCCTCCCCCAAGTGTGGGCAGCGGGGAGGACAGCCTGGCAACAACTTTCCAATGCACAGAGCTCGTGTAGCCCCAAGCCTCGAATTCCTGCCAAAGCCCCTTGGAGAAACCCTGAAGGCAGGAGCCTGGACCCACCCCTTCCTCCCAGGCACCTGCTCTCCCAGGCCTGACTGGCCACCTCGGCCCCTGCCCCGCCTCCTGCCCTCGGGCACCTGCTCCTGCTGGCCCTGTGCTTGGTGAAGCAGCTGAGCCCAGCCTGGCAGAGCCAATGCCATGCTCCCTGGATGGAATGGAACTCCGGCTCCGGGTCCCTCCTTAACCCAAAGGCAACCTCATCAGTACGTCTCCCCTCAGCATGGCTGCCTTCCAACCCACAGCCAACACAATCGCGCGCACACACAGTCCAGTGTGAGCTTGGTTGGCAGAGAATCCCACTTTTATGAAAAGATCCTGTAAAGAATGTGTTTTCCAAAACGAAAGCAGGCAACGTGTGGGCCCAGGTTCCGGGTCCTCAGCTACAGAGCCTGGGTGCCCAGCCACGGCCGCTGGCTTCAGGGACGCCTCCGGGTGGGGGATTGGATGTGTGTGCTTTGGGGAGTCTGTCCCTGGATCTGAACTGTAGCTGTAAAGAGGTCTCGAATGATAATGGAGGGGCTGCAGGGCTGAGCAGGGGAGGAAACGTCTCCGAGGCGGAAGGAGAGAAGAGAACGGGTCCCGCTGAACCAAAGCTTCCCAGCGCCTGCAGGATAGCAGCAAACCCACTGACCGTTATGCCCTTTGGGGGCCACAGCCCAGTCCCCACATGAAAGACGGCCCGAAGCACCCACTGCAAGGGCCTCACCAAGTAAAGGGCCCCCCAGCTTGCTGCCTCCAGCTCCTGAGCCCAGGAGCCAAGTTCGCCCCTTGTCCGCTCTCTGAGCTGGGCTGTCGCTCCCCCACGCCCTGCGCTCACTGCTGTTGCTGTGCCTCTGCCCACGCTGTTCCCCATTCCTTCCCCTACCCGTGCAATCGGACACCCCTGGGCGTCAGTGGCAATGCCCTGCGTGTGCTGGGGCGGAGGGAGGTGTTAGGAGCCAGGGAGGTGGATGAAAGCAGTCCCGTTCCCCCCTCAAGAAGCTCAGTCTCACAGGGAACAGACCCTGTTACGTAATAACACGCATGCCCACCAGGAAGCAGCAGCACGGGGTGCTCCCCGCCCGCTGGTCAGCACCCGAGCAGGGCCGTCCTCAACACCTCCCACAGGCTCCAAACACTCCATGTAACACTTCTCCTCCTTAAAGCACTGAATCCTCCTCCTCATTGCATTACGGTCGGGGAAACTGAGGCTCTGAGATGGCAAGTGACTTGCCCAGCTGGTAAGCAGTGAGTGAGTTTCAAGCCCAGGCAGCTGGGTCCTAAATTCTAGACGCTTATTAATCACTGCATTCGACTCGGTTCCAAAAGCCTTTCCTAAAAGCCAAACGGATGTTTCTCCCCTTCAGGAGGCCGAAGCCTCGCTGCCCGCAGCACACAGGCCCTCACTGTGCCGCTCTCCCTGAGACATCTGTGCAGGGGCGGGGGGCAGGGGGTGGGGGTGGGGTCAGCTCCCTGTGCAGGTCAGGGCTGGGGGCAGCTCCCTCTGCAGGCGGGGGAGGAGGGCAGCTCCCTCTGCAGGTTGGGGGGGCAGGCAGCTCCCTGTGCAGGTGTGGGGGGCGGGGTGGGCAGCTCCCTGTGCAGGTGCGGGGGGCGGGGTGGGCAGCTCCCTGTGCAGGTGCGGGGGGAGGGGGGGAGGGCAGCCCCCTGTGCATTAAGTACACAGGCTGAGAAGACAGGCCTGGGTTCGCCCTGCCCCTCCACTAGCTGTGTGACCCAGAAGAAGTTACTTTACTTCTTCGAGCCTCAGTTTCCTCTTCCGTAAAGGAGAGGATGAAGATACACTTACGGCATTTTATACGGATAAAATGAGATATTACATGAAAGTTCCTTAGCCCAGTGCCTGGCGTATAGGTAGCACTCAAAATTCCTTCTCCTTTTTTCTCCTCCTCTTCCTCCTCCTCTTCTCTGTCTTCTTATTTTATTTTTAAAATATATTTTATTGATTTTTTACAGAGAGGAAGGGAGAGGGATAGAGAGTTAGAATCATCGATGAGAGAGAAACATCGATCAGCTGCCTCCTGCACACCCCCTACTGGGGATGTGCCCGCAAACAAGGCACATGCCCTTGACTGGAATCAAACCTGGGACCCTTCAGTCCGCAGGCCGACGCTCTATCCACTGAGCCAAACCAGTCAGGGCTCTGTCTTCTTATTTTAATGAATATAACTTACTCCACAAAGCGAGTGTGTAGGACTTTGAATCCCCTTCCATCTGCCTGGTGCACAGACAAGACATTCAGTGCCCATCACTGCTGGGGCTTCGCCCAGAGCGGTCCGGTCCAGGGTCTCTCTGGCCGCACCAGCCCATGGTCGCTGCCAGCATCACCCCTTTGGGCTGTGCACCTGGTGCCTCATCTGGACACAAGAGCCCCGGCCTCTTCGTCCCAGACCCTGTGGAGCTGCACGTGGCCGCCTGGCGGGGCCCAGCCAGCTCTCCAGCACCGTCCAGGTCTCTGGTGTTCCCGCACCCCCGTGTGCTGCCCACATAGGCTCTCGCCCCAGCCCGAGTGCGCACCCAGCCTCTCCCACTCCCTGTGGTTTCACACGCAGCGGGAGCAGCTGCCCAAGCGGCTTCGGACTCCTGTCCCACCACCAGTTCTGGGGCCACGGAGACAGGCCTGCCACCTGCTCGCGAGCGAGAGGAGGAAGATGTACCAAGAGAGAGACACAGGCCAGTGTCTCACAAGAAGGATGCTGCCACATTAGCAGTGAGCGCCCAGGCGCCCGCCTCCTCCCAGCTGGGCCCTGGGGCCACCAGACCCTCAGGCCCCGGGTCGGGCTCCGCTCGAGGGGAGGGTCCGACAGGGGCCGGAGCCCCGGGCTGTGCAACGGCCTCCCACGGGGCCCAGGGCGCCGGGACTGGGAAGCCCACTTCCGAGGCCATGTGCAAGGAAGTCTGTCCTCCCCAACGAACCGCACGCCTGAGCAGCCGCGTCACCTCGGGGGACTAGTGACGGGACGTCAACGCCGAGGGGCACATAGTACCAGGCCAAGCGCCTCCTTCCACAGAACGGAAGCCAGGTCCCGGAAGGAAGGAGAAGGGGGTGCCCTGGGCCATGGGGAGTGGGGAGGCGGGGCGAGGGGACATGGTGTGTAACGAGGCCGGGGGCATTTTGAGGACTGGGGTCCTCTCTTGGGGTCTCTAGACCTGTTTTCCTGCCAAAGGGGAACCCTGACCAGGAGAAGGAGCCGATGCTGAAGGCTGCATCCCAGCAGCCCGACAGGTGAGCCTGCCACCTGGCATTCACCTCCCTCCCAGGGCCGGGCAGCCGGGATTCTGAGGGGTCTCAGCTGCCTCATGAAAGGAGCCCCAGACGGTCCTGCAGAAATGCAAGCACACGGGCCACAGGCCAGCCTCTACGCCCCTCTCCCCACAACCTCCACAAACAAGCTTCCAGCCTCAACTCCGATCCTGAAGAGCAAGGGCGAGAAAAGCCCCAGGGTCAGGGGTCAGGGGCCAGGGCCCCACCCACCTGGTGGAGGCTGCTGGCACATGGCTGTGCACCTCCCACACGGAGGGCACTGAGCAGAGACCGAAGACACTTTGCCGAAGCATCACCAGAACAACAGCAACCTGCTCCCCAGAACCAGCTCAAGACCTCGGGGAGCTCAACAACCCACACGGCACCCCTGCGACATCGCTCCCGGCCCCCACCCCCCGCCCCGCCTGCGTGGCCCCGCGGTCTTCCTACCTGGGACGATGGAGACAGTGTCCTTCTCCCAGGACACGACGCTGACGTACTCCTGCACTGAGGAGGGGATGAGGCACTTGAAGACGGCCATGCTTCCACGCATGGACCGCTGATCCTCCACCCGGACGGTGTAGGGTTCCCTGAACACTGCGGAGAGAGGGCCCGGGAAGGCCTGTGTCGCGGCTCCACTGGACACGGGGCCCAGAGAGGCCCCCACTCCCTCCACACCCAGCCTCAGCCTCCACCACCTCTTCCCACCCTCCCACCTACCCGGCCCAGGACTCCCTGCCAAGATTTTAAAAAGATGTATTTTAATTGATTTCAGAGAGGAAGGGAGAGGGAGAAACATCAAAGAGAGAGAATCATGGATCAGCTGCCTCCTGCACGCCCCGCCCCCCCAACTGGGGATGGAGACTACAACCCGGGCATGTGCCCTGACAGGGAATCAAACTGTGACCTCGGGGTTCATAGGTCGATGCTCAACCACTGAGCCACACAGCCGAGCCCTGCTGGGATCTTACTCCTGCCTGTGTGGCTCCTTCTTTAGCAAGCTCCCCCCGCCCCCCAGGGCAGCCCACTCTGCTTCTGAAATACCAGCCTTCCTTCACGAGACCACAATCCCACACCGCCCGCCCCACGGTCAGGAGCGCTGACAAACTGTACTAAACGGGAAGGACGCTGCGGGCGCCTGAGCCCTGCAGTGTGATCACCTTCAGCAGGGGGTGACATGAGGGAGTATTCTAGAATTCACCTAAGGAAGCCAAACTGCAGTTCCCACATGTTCCTCGGCCCAGGGCGGCAAGAGTTTGGGGCATGGGGGCCATAAATTGCCAGATAAAAATGGACACGTGACCTCACCACAGATTTTTTGTTGGGTGTGGGCACAGCCACGCACTGTGGAAAGCAGTTTGGGGAAATGGAGGACGTGAGCAGAACTGGGGGCTTGCTGCCTTCCTGGGCAGAATGGTTGTCGCTCTCTTTGTCTCCAGAAACGCAGCGTGCGGAGACATGGGCGTCTCCACGCTCCTCCAAAGCACAGCCCTCTTCTCTCCCCACCTCCTAACACTGCGGACACCTGGGCCCGCCTCGCCCGGCCTCAGACCCTTCCTCTCAGCGTGCCCTGGGCCCGGCTGGTTCCGGGGCTGTAACCTGTAGCCACTCCATGTGTCAGGCCCATGCTGGACGGGCCCAGCCCTCTCTTTTCCTTGTCCTCCTCCACTTGGCCTCTCCGGGGGGCTCCCTCCATCCTTCAACCCCTTCTCGGCCGAGGGGTATCCGGAGCCCCACTGCCTCCGGCCTTGTCCTCAGCAGGCACCTGGGGGGTGCCCTCCTGCCATGGCTCTCAGGGGGACATCCCCCCCGGCCCCCACGCCCCCGCCCCCAGGTTCATCAAGAGCCTCTTCATTGGCTGTTTCCCGTTGGGCCCGCCCTGCCACCCTGCTCAGGGCTCTGTTCCTTCCCGGCTCTGGCTGGTGGTGTGATGGGAAGAGACACAGCTGAGTGGGAGGGAGAGGGGTGAGGGAGGCGCTGCTGCTGGCTCTGTGGGGCCGTGGGCCCCTCTTCCTGGGTTTGGCCACAGCACTGCAGATGCGGGGTGCACACAGGAAAGACTGAGGGAAGCTGACCCTGGAGGGAAGCAGAGGGAAGGAGGAGAAGGGTGGGGTTGGGGCGTACCCCCAGGATGGGCCGAGGGACCAGCAGAGGCCAGTGGTTAGGGTGTCAGACAGGCGGGCGGGCGCTGCCTCCTACTCTGAGCAGCTGTGTGCCCTGGGCGAGAACTGTTAACCTTTTGCAGCCTCATCTGTAAAAGGAAATAATAATGAAGTAATGGCAGTAATAATAGTGCAGCGTGTAGAAGGCCTGGCACCCGAGGCGGGGCTGCAGGGCTGGGCCTCATTACAGCGCCATCTCTGTGGGACTGGCCGCGCCCTGGGCAGGTGACGGAACCTCTCTCAGTCCCTCGTTGGTTAGAAACACTCTACAGGGTCATTGTGAGAATTGCACCCAAACCCAACGAAGTCTGTGCCAGGTAATGTGACCTCACTTCCTCTTGGCCCGTGGAGGCCGGTGCCGGGCAGCAACCCCGCCCAGTGCTCCCTCCCAGCCGGCCCCCTGCGTTTCAGGGGACAAAGGAAGGCTCCTGAAAGGCAACCCCACGGGAGCCCATAGGCGAGGCTCTGAGCGTGGCCCTGGGTTCTGAGATCACTCCCTCCCCCACCCAACGAAATGGGAAGAAGATCAGCTGTTTAACGAAGAACTCCCCCCCTCCTCGCTCCCCACACGCCTGGGCCCAGCTACTCAGCACCTGTACTTGCAACAGGCACTCCTGAGCCAGACAGACCCGGAGTCAGAGACCTCGCTCTAGAACTCTCCCCTGTGCCCAAGGGATGGTGCTCAAGGCCGGGACCCCTGCAGGGGCTACCAGGCCACCTGTCCTCTCCCACCACAAGCTCTTCCCAGAAAAACCACTCCCCAAGTTTCCTGCTTCCTTACAGTGGAGGCCCCCTCACAGCTGAGGCTGGCACCCGGCAGACAGGGACGTCCTCGCCAAGAGGAACTCAGCCAAGCCAGCCCGGGCCCACCACACAGCTGAAGGTGACACCCAGCGGACAGGGACGTCCTCGCCAAGTAGCTGACCTGTGTCATGCCGGGCCTGCAGGCCTGACTCCGAGAAATGAGACTTTCTGTTTTCTCTAGAGAAGCCGCCTGAGAAAGGCTCAACTTCCTTGACCAATTACTATTTCCAAAGGCCAAACTCCTTCACTGCTAACAGTTTTCCACCATGAATTTCACCTGAATGGCTGCTCTCAGGAGAAACACTGTCCTCGCAAGGCCATCACCAGGCGGATGAAGGGCAGGCAGCGTGGGGAGCAGGAGACCACAGCAATGGATGCATGGCTCCCGCACAGTAGCAGGGGTGAATCCCACAAACAGAACGGCGAGCAAACAGCTCGAGAGAACGTGGACTGTGGGACTCCACTTGTTTAAAGTACAGACATCGGCAGTATCATCAGGCAGGAGCCAGGACAGGGGCTTCTCCCAGGTCTGGTGATGGGAAACGCATAAGGGGGCTTCCGTGTGACTAACTGCATATCCTGAGCTGGGTATCAGTTAGACTTTGGGAAATGCATCAAGCTGCATGCGTATAATAAATGCATTTCTCTTTATATATTAATCTAATAAAAGAGAAACATGCAAATTGACCATACCTTTGCTATGCCCCAAGCCACGCCTACCAGCCAATCAGAGCAACTATATGCAAATTAACCCAAGCAAGGTGGTGGCCTGCAGCCACGGAGCTGGAGCAAGCAGGAGGCTTGGTTGCCCCCACAATGGAGGAAGCCAAGCTTCCCGTCTGCCCTGGCCGGCTGTGGCCTCTGCTAAAGGCAACAAAGTTTCAATTATAGGAGCTAAATAAATTCCAGATACCTGCTTCCAGCCAGCCTCCACTGGAAGCTTGGATGGCTGGGGGCTGTGGCCAGCCTGCAAACAGCCATCAGCCACTCACCTAGGCTGGCCAGGCACCCCAGCAGGACCTCCCTCTCTGAAGGGGGTGTGGTCAGCCTGAAAATGGCCCTCAGCCCCTCACCCAGGCTGGCCAGACACCCCAGCGGGACCTCCACCCTGATCCAGGACACCCTTCAGGGCAAACCAACCAGCCCCTGGTGGTCAGTGGGCTCCCACAGGGGGAGCTCTGCTCAGCCACAAGCCAGGCTGATGGCTGCCAGCACAGCGGTGGTGGCGGGAGCCTCTCCCGCCTTCTCAGCAGCGATAAGGGTGTCCGACTGCAGCTTAGGCCTGCTCCCCACTGGCAAGTGGACATCCACCAAGGGTTCCCGGGCTGCCAGAGGGATGTCTGACTGCCAGGGCCTAAGCCAGCAGGTGGTCATGCCCTGAGGGTTCCCAGGCTGTGAGAGGGCACAGGCCAGGCTGAGGGACCTTCCCCCCAACCCCCCCAAGTGCACAAATTTTTGTGCACTGGGCCTCTAGTCTATAATAATAAAAGTGTAATATGCTAATTAGACCAGACAGTCAAATGACCTTCCAGACGTCCTTCCGGATGACCTTCCAGATGAAGCTGCAGTGACAGGGGCTGAGGCAGAGGCGGTTAGGGACAATCAGGCAGCCAGGCAGGCAGAGTAGTTAGGGGCGATCAGGCAGGTGAGCAGTTAGGAGCCAGCAGTCCGGATTGCCAGAGGGATGTCCGACTGCCATTTTAGGCCCAATCCCACCTAAACCAGCAGTCGGACATCCTCCAAGGGGTCCCAGATTGCAAGCGGGTGCAGGCCGGGCTGAGGGGATGAGCGCCACACTCCCCCCCCCCCCCCCCGCCCCATGCATGAATTTCATGCACCAGGCCTCTAGTTGTTTCAATAAAAGGTTTTATTTTTAATTTAAGAAGGAAGGGAAGAAGCTCATTGGATGTTTTCCATGAGTCAAGCACCAACATGAGCACTTCATGTGAATGTGTGCGATCTCACAATGACCACAGGCGGTGAGAAGCAGGGTAGAGACTGGCATCCCCTTTGTAGGTGAGGAAACTGAGACTCAGAAAGGGATGTTCTCACCCAGCTGGCGTGACTCAGTGGTTGAGTGTTGACCTACGAACCAGGGGGTCACAGTTTGATTCCTGGTCAGGGCACATGCCCGGGTTGTGGTTTGATCCCCAGTGTAGGGTGTGCAGGAGGCAGCCGACCCATGATTCTCTCTCATCATTGATGTTTCTGTCTTTCTCTTCCTCACCCTTCCCCTCTGAAATCAATACAAAATATTTAAAAAAATAGCAAGGGGTGTTCTCAGCCTAAGGACCTACAGTGAGTGGCAAAGAGTTAAGATTCCAAAGAACAAAACTTTCCTTGAGGGACTGACTTTTGCCAAGTCCCCCTCCCCCACAATGTTACACACGTGTCAGAATGATGGGTGCTGCCCGCTCCCCAGCTCAGCCCTCCAGACTGCTCCCTGCAGCGGGCAGGGGCCGGCCTCACCTGCTTTGACGCGGATGTTGGGGCTGCGGATCTTGCCGGCGGCATTCTCCGCGGTGCAGAAGTAGTCATTGTCGTGGATGAAGCTGTTGAAGGCGGAGGGGGAGAAGGGGTAGAGCTGCAGCGTCCCGTTGGCGTGCACGTGCCGGATGTGGGGCACGTCGTAGATGTCGTCCCCTGTGGCCAGGTACCATCGAAGGGTTGCGCTGGGGGAGCCCGCAGCCGGGCAGGGCACCACGACCCCCACGGAGCTGGAGAAGGTCACCTGCTGCAAGGAGTCATTCACAAAGTAGAGGCTGGTGCCAGCATCTTCCGGGCGGGCTGCAGGGGGCAAGGGAGCGGCTCGGTTAGCGGAGTTGGTAAGACCCTCACGGGCCAGAGGCAGCGAGCCCACACTCAGGACCGCCAAGCACCTCACTCCACAAGCGCTTACTGAGCGCCAACTGTTTACCGGCACTGGCAACGGTGAGCCAGAGGCAGACCACCCTGCAGAAACTCCGGCCTCGCACAGGGACAGTTAAAACATTGCGCGGCGAGAGGAGGCCACCACTCTGCTAGGCTGAAGGGTCGGAAGCCATTGCTTAGGTAATAAATATTTCTTGAGCAGGTCCTGTACGTAGGCAGGCTCACACCCATCCCCTGTACCACCTGGTGGGGAGGAGGTGCCACTGCTCCTCATCATTGTCTCTTACAGGCTGAGATGAGATTGGGGACTTGCCTGAGACGACAAAGCTAATAAGCCCCAGACCAGACATGTGACTCCATTGCTCCCAAAGAGGCCTCGGTGCACTTCGTACCCACCCCCGCCGAGCGGGCAAAGGTGTAAGCCCGTGTCCTGCAAGGCACGGCTGAAAGGAGTGCGGGTGCTCACCTGGAAGACGGAGACCCCAGGAGACCTGAGAGCGGCCTTGACCTCTGGAGGCCAGTTTGGAAAATGCCAGCCCACAGGCTGAAGGAAGGATTGTGGGTGATGCGTTTGAGTGTGGGAGCAAGAGACCGCCCACTTCTCAACCTGCCCTGCCATGGCCGACTGCGGAATGCCCTTCCCCGTCTGATCAGCGTTTCCTCAGCTCATAAATGTGGGGAGGATGGACCAGGCTGCGGACTCCCTGGCCAGCGGCCACCGTCCCCCACCCCCGCCCCAGCTCACAGGGAGAGCATGCTCCCATGGCAGCGGCTGCTGTGGCAGGGCCACCGACGGGAGGGCAGCGTCTCAGCACGCATCTCAGCACGGGACCTCGGCGTTCCTGCCCCAACGGGGAGCAGCCCTGAGTGAGGGAATCTGGGCCCTGCCTCCCCACGGAGAGGCCTGTCCCTTTGAGAAGGACCACCTCTGACCAGGAGGGGCAGACACGGGGGAAGCCGCACCCTCTGCACCAGGAAGATCAAGGACCACACGAACCACTCGAACCCAAACCCGCTCGCTACTGCTCGGAGTGCAGGGTCCAACTTGACCTCAACTGCCACAACTCTTCGGGCAGGGGAAGGCCCGCATCTGGACCGCGTTAATATTCTTGGCTTGACTCCCAGCCGGGCCTCCAGGGAGAATGTACCAGGCAGCGCATTGAGGGAGGCCATTGAGCTTCATTGGTCAGAGCGATTCACAGCATCTCATAAGGAGCCACGTGGAGCCACGGGCAGCAGCGCTAGACACACATCCGTCCTCGGCTCCAGCTAGGGCGTCAGGGAGACCTCTTACAGCAAGTGCATCACTGAGCGCCCAGAGGCTCCGGGAGTGGTAGCATCCTTCCTCCTCCCTCTCCTCCTCCCCTTCCTCCTCCCCCTCCTCCTCCTTCTCCTCCTCCTCCTGGGACAGTCCTGCTGCAGGTAGTTGAGCAGGTCTGCTCTGGGGAAGAGGAGGGTAGCCACCAGGAGACCCCGAGAAGCTCAGATGTGCCCACTGGCAGTGGCTGGAGCGTTCTCCAAGGTCACGCAATCACACCATTTCACAGGTGGGCAAACTGAGGTGTAGGAAAGCTTCTCTCAGGGTCCACCTTCGCCAGCTTCCCTTCCTCGAGCCTGCTCACCTCCTGAGAGACCCGCTGCTGGGATTCAGTCAACAAACCACTGCCGAGCATCTTCAGCACGCCGGGCACCAGCGTACGCCCGCTACAGGACCGCTCTCAGTCCTCCCCACTGCCTTACCAGTCGGCATCGTCATCATCCCGCTTAAAGATGAGGGAGCTAAGGTGCCGAGAGGTCAAGCCACTCACCCAAGACCACACAACCGGTGAGTGAGGGCTTGGAGAGGCGGACGCAGGCCACCTGGGCCCAGAGTCCGATTTCCAGCCATGAGATCGCTGTAGCCACCGCAGTAATACACCGGGGACTGCCTCCTCCTCCAGCACCACCTGGCCGCCAGCTTCCATATTCAACCGTTGGGAACAGAATTCACAACCACACACACCCTTCCTGGGGGCTGTACGACCGGCACTTCACAGTGCCCGCCTGTGGGGACAGGGGCCCTCACTCTGGGGTCCTGGCTGCTTCCTGAGACAACCTCGTTGATCAGACCCCTCACCACGGCCGCTTCGTGGATGCTGGGAGCAGAACACATTGCAGCCCAGAAAGGCTGCCCTGTGCCTGACAAGTGGGCTTGGGAGGCTCAGAGAGATTCCTGAGGCGGAGAAGTCAGGCGCCGACTCGGCAGGTGAGAACATACGGAAGGAGGAGGATGCTGTCCCACAGTCATGGCTTCACGTATGCAGGACTTCCTAGGCGATGCTACTATTCTTTTTTTTAAGTATTTTATTATTATTTTTAATCTTTTTTGTTGTTGTTGCTAATCCCCACCCAAGGATATTTTTCCCATTAATTTTCTTTTTTTTTTTTTAAGAGAGAGTGCAAGGGAGAGGGAGAGACAGAGAGAAACATTGATGTGAGAGAGATATATCAATTGCTTGCCTCTCACATGAGCCCGGACCAGGGCCAGGGATGCCTGCAACCAAGTATGTGCCCTTGACCAGAATCGAACCTGGAACCCTTCAGTCTGCAGGCCGACACTCTATCCACTGAGCCCAACTGGCCAGGGCGCGATGCTACTATTCTATTTCCATTTTACATAGAAGGGTAAGGAGACGAAGACTCAGAGTTAACTAACTTACCCAAAGTAACACAGAGGGTACCAGTCAGCACCGGATCCGGGCCGCAAACCAATGGTGCCGCCCTTGCTGAGCCGGGCACGGAGCTGATGACAAGTCAAACCACAAAATATAGGCGGCATTCTCCTCCCCAACATGTCTTCCATCCCCTGAGCCCCCACACCCCAACACACATTCCCAGCCTTCTTCTCTCCCACTGGACACCTGTCCCAGCCTCCCTGCCTGTGAGGGAGCCCCTTCCCAGGCTCCCCACCCTCCCGCAGGAGCGCCAGCCACAACGCCCACCCCTGCCTGCACGCGGGCCCCGGGGCCTGCCAGAGCCAGGGACAGGGTCTCAGCAGCCACAAGAGAAGATCTACTTGATGGATTGACCGGGACTGTCCAGCCACCTGTCAGGCGGATGAAAAACAGATTTACAGCAAAGGAGAGCGGCCTCCTGGTTCTCCTGCCCGGGTGAGAGCTGCTGTCTTCCGAGCCTGGGCCGGGGAGGGTCAGACCAACCATTCATCGCTGCTTGCGGCTGACAGCGCGTGGCCGTCAGGAAGCATCACCTCGGGCGTAAAACAAGAGCGTTTTGCACCTACATCGGCCTCATATTTTACCATCACAGGCAGCTGTCAGCCCCAGATGCAGAAGCCCTTCCACAAACATGACTTTAGTTTCATCCCACCTGCTCAGAGAAAGGAGTGAGCAGATGCACAAAGAGGAAACTGAGGCACTGACCACCTCAAATCTCTGCCACGTGCCCAGGTGAAGGCTGGCCCAGGGCACAGTGAGTGGCTGCAGCGGCAGTGGGTGCGCGCAGTCCTCGCCACGGCAGGGGAGTAGCCGGGCCCGAGGGCCTCCCGGAGGCGGCGTGGCCTTCACGCGGGGCTTTCCCTCCTTCTCAGTCTCCTGGAGGAGTCTTCTGAGCCTCAGCAGCTCAGAGAAGAGCCAGAAGTGTGTGCGGATCCGGAGCCGGAGCCGGAGCCGGGGGTCTGACAGAGCTACTTCCCTCCTCCTCCCTGCCCAGCTGTGTGGCCTCAGGCAGCCCTCTGGCCGCTCTGAGCCCTGGTGTCAAAAGAGGGAGGATTGCAGGACTGCATCACCTACCTCCCCTCTACCCCCACCCCCACCCCCTCCCAGGACCGCCCAAGGGCAACAGGGAATGTGACTGTGCTTGGTGCCACTTGATGAGGTGTGAGTCTGAGGGATGGGCTTGCTGTTCTGGTCCCAGCAACCCCCACCCCAGGGGCCAGGGGGCCTAAGGTGAGGGCAAAGGATGCCGGGGCCAGTGCCCCTCTGCACCTGTGGGACTCCAGCCCTTTCCCACCTCCTTCACCTCCTCCTCCCCCGCAATCAGGGCTGTCCTCCCCGCATCCTTGCTGACCAGGGACCAGGAAAGACTTGGTTCTCAGGGGATCAGGAGCAGGCCCGGTGTGGGGAAGCATCAGGAGGGGACTGGCCAGAAGGGTCCCCCAGCGCCAGGGCAGTGAGCAGAGGGCTGAGCACGGATTCCCCACGAGCCCCGGCAGGGAGGTCCATTACTCAGCATCTGAGAAGAAGCTCTGGGAACGGGGAGGCTCTGGGTACAGGGCTTGAGCCTAGCCTGGGTGGAGGATCGGAATGAGGCCCTCCTGGGAAGGGACCGCCTGCACAGTGGCTCGGTGACACGTGTGAGTCTGGCATGTGTGGGGAACACGGCAGAAACCTTCCAGGCAGGGCACTGGGTGGGACTGGGGAGAGGAGGCGGAATCAGCTGGCTGGGCCCACGGTGGTGGGCGCGGGGGGAGGTTTGCAGGCTCCTGGTGCGCATGGCCTGATCGCTCAGGACAGGTGACTGAGGTCAGTCGAGTTCTTGGAGCCTGTGCCCAACTTCCTTCTGGCCACACCATTTCCCTGACCAATGGCGCAAAGCTCTCCAAAGAGAGGAGACTAACATTAATTGAGCACCTACTGTGTGCATGCACCGGGCTTCTCATGTAATCCTCACACAAAGGAGCTGCATGTACGGGGGAGGAGAAGAGGCTCATGGGTAGAGATTTCCCAAGTCACACAGCGAGACGGAGACAGAGCCAGCCCCCAGCAAGGCCGGCCTGGCCCCCAAGCCCGGGCGTTTTCTGCCACAAGTTTGGGGCCTGATGAGGTTTCTCCTTCACTCTCTGAGGCCAATCTAATTTGGGAAACAAATCCCTGGACAGGAAACGCCTCCTTTCCCTCACTCCCCAGCCCGGCTGCTGC